AGAGAGAGAGAGAGAGAGAGAGAGAGAGAGAGAGAGAGAGAGAGAGAGAGAGAGAGAGATGAAGACCTTCAGTTTTGCAGAAGAGAGAGAGAGAGAGAGTGCTTGCACGCACATGCACTGCATGAGGATTGCGAGCCGTATGTTCCATACAGTCTGATAACTACACAACTTCTGTTTTTTATGATACACAATTGTACAAACATTTGTATTCCTCATCTTTGTGCGATTGAGTGGTGTGTGCGGCTGACTCTCTAATGGTAACATGACACGACAATGTGTTTTGTCAAGCAGTGGTGAAACTTGTTTGTTGCAGGGCAGGGCGACGTAAAATGAGACTCCCCACGCCAAATCGCCTTATATAGAATGGGACACAGCGATCTTAGGGGCACAGAAAAGGAAGGTTGGCTACTGCGTGCCAAAATGCGATGGACCCTGCGTTGTTGGACAACTTGCGGCCCGCACTAGTCAACCTTGTTTGTACGAGGGCAGCCCAACATTTAATCGACGATCTCCCACGTCTGCTCCGTACAAGTGAGAGAATAAGTCTAAAAATTTACTCGTTCTAGTGGTGAGAACTATTCGTTGCAGGGCAGGGTGACGCGGACCTCGGCTCCTCACGCCAAATCGTTTTATATAGAACGGGACACAGCAATCTCAGGGACCAAGAAAAGGAAGGTTGGCTACTGCGTGCCAAATTGTGTCGGACACTGACGTGTTCGACAAGTTTCGGCCCGCAGCAGCCAACCTTGTTTGTATGAGGGCCCCCCCAGCATTTTATCGAAATGTGCACCGCCGTCGGACACCGAAAGTCAACCTTGTTTGTACGTGGTTCGAAATGTGGTCGTCAACAGCCTGCAACATCTCTCTCTCTCTCTCTCTCTCTCTCTCTCTCTCTCTCTCTCTCTCTCTCTCTCTCTCTCTCTTTTTCTTTCTCTTTCTCTCTCTCTCTCTCTCTCTCTCTAAGTCTCTTATCCCTCAATTCCATCAGTCAGTGCAATCATCACGTGTCAGGTCGGCGCGCGCACACCCAACGCTCGCCCATGTGATCTTCGTACTCCAAAACGTGCTCACCACAAAACGAGGAAAACACAATTACAACCCACCCCCGGACAACGCAAATGACCTGTGTAGAAACTGCTAGTGCATACGGTCCAATACCCTGCTTCAACAAATTCTAACACAGTTTCAACACGGTTCAACACATTTCAACGAAGTTTCAACAACATTCCAACAACTTTCAACAACATTTCAACAAGCCACCAACAATGGATCAACAGTTGGACCAACTGTTTTTCAACAGTTGGTCCAACAGTTGAACACACAAGTTTCAGTGTCCCCAATATACGGCCAGTGTTGGTTTCCTTCATTTTGTGTTGAACATACCCCCCCCCCCNATATATATATATATATATATATATATATATATTCTATTTGACGATATATATATATATATATATCGTCAAATAGAACTGCCCGGTAAACCGTAGGCAGAGAGGGAGAAGAGGTTTTTTTTTTTTTTTTTGCTGGGGCCAGGGGTGTCGACCCCCGGCCCCCGGGACCCCGGCCGGGGCCCCGGGGCCAGGGCTCGACAACCCTGCCAGGCACCCTACAGACTCTCGATCCCCGAGGCCACCGAACTCAAGCGTGAGCTTGAGGAGCTCCTGAGATTGGGTTTCATTAAACCCAGCAACTCCCCGTGGGGTGCGCCCGTCCTCTTTGTTCGCAAAGCGGAGGAAACTCTCTGTTTCTGCATCGACTATCGCGGTCTCAACCGCTACATGGTTAAGAACAGCTACCCCATGCCTCGTTTCGATGAGTTGCTCGACCGCCTAGCAGGCAACCGCTTCTTTACGAAGATTGATCGTCGTAGTGGTTACCATCAGATCCGCGTCGCGGCGGCGGACCAGCCGAAGACAGTGTTCCGATCGCGCTTCGTCCACTATGAGTTTACAGTGATGCCATTCGGCCTCACCAACGCACCCGCTACCATCCAGAGGGCGATGAACGACATCTTCAGGGAAATCTTGAAGCAGTATGTTCTCGTCTACCTTGACGATATCCTGGTCTACAGTCGTACCCTTGAGGAGCACCTCAAACACCTCCGCGACGTCCTTGACCTCTTGCGCAGACATGACTTCTATGCCAAGCTGAGCAAGTGCCGCTTTGCCCAGCACAAAGTGGATTTCTTAGGACACTACGTGTCTGACCAGGGTCTCCATATGGACGACGAGAAGATCACTGCTATTGTGGAGTGACCCGTCCCCASATCCGCCAAGCAGCTTCGCAACTTCCTAGGCCTTACCAGCTACTATCGTAATTTCATCCAGGGATACACTAGGTATTCCTACGTCCTTACCTCCATCCTCCTCCGGAAAACCCACCCTGGACTTGGACACCCCTCCACGAGGATGCCTTCCGCCCCCTCAAGAAGGCGGTGACATGCGCACCGGTTYTTYACCTACCCGATTTTGATCGCCCTTTAATCCTTACCACCGATGCATCAGACTTTGCTGTAGGAGCAGTGCTTTCTCAGATCTTCCCCTCCTCTCCTGATTCCTTTCATCCTCGTTTCCCTCGCTTCCCACCACCTACCCCTACCTTTGCTTCCCGACAGACACCTACTTGTCCAGCTACTGACGAGCCTTCTATTGACTATTCTCCTACCATCGCCGAGGACGGCACTATCGAGTCTCGCTCAGGTGATTGTCTGATAGCCTTCTACTCCCGCCAACTCCTACCCGCCGAGATAAACTACATCGCTGATGAACGTGAGGTTCTCGCAGTAGTTTATGCCGCTCGACACTGGCGTCACTACCTGCGCGCGGCACCATTCACGGTGCGCACGGACAACTCTGTTGTCCAGGCTTTTCTGACAAAACCGAAGCTCACTCCTCGACAGGCTCGCTAGTGGCGCGACCTATCCGGATTTAGTTTCACCACTGAGCATATCAAAGGTGAGACTAATCGGGTCGCAGATGCCTTATCCCGGCGCCCTGACCATGACCAGGAGCAGATCCAACTCGCCTCCATCTCGGTCACCACCGTCGACCACTCGGTGATCGATGAGTTTCGTACTCAGTACCGCCACTGCCCCGACTATCGCGACATCCACGCGACCCTTCGGAGTCACAAGATCGTCCCGAACAACTCTTTCGGGGACAACGGTCTTGTGTACTGGCACGGTTCACAGGGCACCAGAGAGCCCCGTATTTGCGTTCCCTCCACTGGACAGCTACGCGTCCAAGCAGTAGCAGAGTTCCATGACCAGGCAACCGCCGGTCATATGGGCTTCCACAAGACGTTGGCTCGTGTGAGCCGCCTGTACGTCTGGCCGCTCTGCAAGGACTTTGTGAAGGACTATGTCGCAGAGAGTCCCACCTGTCAGGAGGTGAACAGTGCGAACCACTTGCCTTATGGTTTGCTCCAACCTCTTCCTATCCCTGAGGGTCGTTGGCAGTCCATCTCGATGGACTTTATCGGTCCTCTTCGTCCTCCAAACCCCCGCAGTCATGATGCTATCATGGTCATCGTCGACCGCTTCACGAAGCGTGCACGCTTTGTTTCGTACCACTATGCCATCAGTGCACGTGAGGTCGCTGACATTGTGTTTGACCGAGTTGTGCGCGACCACGGCTTACCTCCGAGCATCATATCCGACCGTGACCCGCGCTTTACCAGTCGATTCTGGCGACGGCTCCACGAGGTGTACGGCACTCAGCTCCGCTTCTCCTCGTCTTACCATCCTCAGACTGATGGTCAGACCGAGATCACGAACAGGACTCTCGGAGATATTGTCCGAAACATTGTTTGTGACAACCAGCAGTGGGATCTCCATCTTGCCCACACGGAGATAGCCTACAACCAAGCCGTCTCGCCAGCCACGGGGATGTCGCCTTACTATTGCGACCTCGGCTATCACCCTCGTGTTCCCGCTGACTTCCTTCGACCGTCACAGATGCACCCTGACACGTGTTGTCCCGCGCTTGATGATTGGGTTGCACACATGACATCGATTATGAAGATCGCACATGAGCACATAGCCGCTTCCAAGACTCGCATGGCAACACGTGAGAACCGATCGAGGATGGATCATCCATTCAAAGTCGGTGATGATGTGCTTATCGACGCCAGCCACTTACAGCTCGAAGCGGACACGCTTCACAAGTTTCGGCGTCGCTTCTTTGGCCCATGCCGCATCCTCCAGGCTGTCGGTTCTGATACGACATCTAGCCCGGTCAGCTTCCGTGTGAAGCTGTCCGACTACCTACGCCAGGCTCGTGTGCACGATGTCTACCACGTCTCGTTATTGCGTCCCTACCGCAGACCGTCTGGGCGTTTCGCTGAACGACCATACGAGCGCCCTCCGCCCATCATGGTGGACAGCCACGAGGAGTTCCTCGTTTCAAACATCATTGGTCACCGAGTCAACGACGACAACCCTCACCATGTCGAGTATCTCGTACGTTGGAAGGGTTACCCTGATGAGGAGGCTACCTGGGAGCCCCTCGAGCACTTGCAACACGCTCGCATGTTGGTGCGTGCCTATGACCGTGCTCGTCGTGAAGTGTTCACTGCTCCTCCTCAGCCCACTGACCCTCCTCCTCTTCCCCCGGCAGAGGAGACCGCTGAAGTCGAGCCTGCCCCTTTTAAGGCAGACCTTCAGCAGCAGCCGGATGCTTTTGAGCATCCACAGCGCACTCGTCATCGTCCTGCTTGATACGACGATTGACTCCGACTTACCTTCCCACATCTTTGACTTATCAGTACTCGATCCAATCCAGTTTTGTTACTTCAGCTTGTCGATGTTGTGGCTCTTCCTTGACTGCATTCCGGACTTCTCATCATGGACGTCATCGGCAGCTTCATGGACTTTGTCACGATCAGCTCTGCCTACTTCAGACGTCGTTACTCTCTTACCACCTTACCCTGTACAGTACCCTGGTTGTGTCGCTTGATGGTCTCCCCTCGCCGGGTTCCTTTGAGTTGGGCTCTCCCTTGGTATACGCATAGGCATCGAGACTGTAGCGTTGCCCTGACTTCCCAGCTTACAGACCTAGCTCCGACGTTCGTCTCCTGAGGAGTCATTTGCATGATTCCTTTACCCATCACTTTCCTACCCTCTGCCGGCCCTCACCCCCTAGTTAGGCAGCTTCGCATGCTTCATCTAGGTGTGCCGAGTATACCAGGCTCCCTTGTTCCCTTGCATGGTCGACCCTCCATAGCGGTCACCCCTTAGTCGAGCATTACCCGCCCTGATGGTCTATCTATTAGGGTAATTGGTTCTGTTCGCTCCCAGTTCCCTACGCTTATTGAGCCTGATGACATGTGTTCCCCCTGTCACTATGTCTGGATGCCCTTAGGAGTTTTCGACCCCTAGGCTGCATTCGCCACCCTCAGAGACCATCCCACCCTTTGGTTTGCGACACATCCCTCCTGTCACATATGGTTGACTTGTTGTTGCTTTGTTGCTCTCAGAATGAGACTACCGCCTCTAACATTTCTAGGATTTAGTTGTTCTGCTTTTGTTGTTCTTAAGACTTATACACTAGTCAGTTGTTTCCAGACTGATGCTAATGCCTCCTACATTCTAGGATCTAGTTGTCATTACTTTCTGCTTTCCTATGACATGTATGCTAGTTAGTTGCTTCTGCTTTCCTAGGACATGTATGCTAGTTAGTTATTTCTGATTTCACTTAGGCTGTTAGCTGTGACATTGTTGTTTTGTGACATTTTCTATTCTAGGTTGCATCGCATGGACTCAGCATGGAGCTTGCTCTGCATCCTAGACTACTTAGATTTTGTTTTTTTCTTTGGTAAAGTTCCGCTTCTTGGCGAAAGCGTGTTTGTGTCTAGGCGATCCATCACAGGCCGAGGATCGTGTAGCGGACCTCTGGCTGGCCTGTGAGACCAGCCCCTTGGCCTGTTCTCACAGGCCTGTGTTGTATTCGGGGCAATCCAGTCCAGACCGGTACCTCTGTCGGTACCAGCCAGTCCAGTCCAGTCCCGTCAGTCCGTTGGGGTATACCCCAGCAGTTGTCTGTATTCTGGCTCATTTCTGCATTCGCGCAGTTTGCAGTACGTGCATTTGAGTCTGGCGTGGGAGTTGCGCTGTGCCATCTCGCTCCCCGTCTTCCTCCATCTCCATCTCTATCCCTGTCGGAGCACCACACTTGGTGGGTCCGCCACAGGGTGCCGAACGTTCGGGCGTTCGGATTGGGGCGTTGGGCCCATCCCGACCGCTGGCAACCCTGGTTTTCATCATAATCTAGGCTACCAGAATGGTCCGGGGCCAGTTGCCCAGCCGAGCCAAAAATAAATAAAAAAATAAAAAAACTAAATTATTGTTTAACTTTTTGTTTTTCAAATTTGGTAAGGAATTTCGATCTGACCCTGAGGCAAAAGTTGTTCAGTTTATTTTTCTGCATAACATAGTTTTTTTTTGGGATTTGTTTTTTTGTTTTTTTTTTGCTAAGACCTTGCCTAGGCCTTGAACGGTCGGACCGTCTGGAAAAATAGGGTGACCCGGGCGGCCCGACTGGTAGCTTAGGTCATAATTAAATTAATAATAATAATAAAAATTGACTCACAATTATGTCGGTTCTATAATATCAATCAAGAAAATGATCACGCGCGCCTGAAATTTGCGCGCCCACACTCTCTCTGCTCCTTTCAAACGGTCTCACACTCCTCGTCTTAGTAAGAAACTCGGCCGCAGCTCACACGACGCTCCTAACTTTCAACTCAATATATTTTTCTGTCACTCGCAAATATAAGGGCGGATACTCTTGTAAGGGTATTCACGCCGACACTGTCACTTCTCAATACGAATCAAAATATCATGTTAATCATACATGAATCGACTGGACGAACACTTCTTGACCTTTTATCCCGCCACTTCTCAATACCAATCAAAACCTCATGTTTTTTTTTTTTTTTTGCTAGGACCTTCCCTAGGCCTTGCACGGTCGGACCGTCCGGGAAAATAGGGTGACCCGGGCGGCCCGACTGGTAGCCTATGTCATAATTAAATTAATAATAATAATAATAATAATAATAATAATAATAATAATAATAAAAATCGATTGACAATTATGTCGGTTCTATAATATCAATCAAGAAAATGATCACGCGCGCCTGAAATTTGCGCGCCCACACTCTCTCTACTCCTTTCAAACGGTCTCAGACTCCTAGTTTTAGTAAGAAACTCGGCCGCAGCTCACATGACGCTCCTAACTTTTAACTCAATATATTTTTCAGTCACTTGCAAATATAAGGGCGGATACCCTTGTAAGGGTATTCGCGCCGACATTGTCACTTCTCAATACCAATCAAAATATCATGTTAATCATACATGAATCGACTGGACGAACACTTCTTGACCCTCTATCCCGTCACTTCTCAATACCAATAAAAACCTCATGTTAATCATACATGAAGCGATTGGAAGAACACTCCTTGACCCACTATCCCGCCACTTCTTAATATTAATCAATACATAATGTTAATCATACATGAGGCAACTGGACAGACACTCCTTGACCCTCTATCCCGTCACTTCTCAATACGAGGCAGTTCATCAAGTTAATCACACAAGAAGCGACTGGACGGACACTCGTTAACCCTCTATCCAACCACTTCTTTATACCATTTAGATATCAAGTTAAACATACAAGAAGCGAATGAATGGACACTTTTTGGCTCTCTATCCAACCACTTCTCAATAAAAGTTAGTGCAACAGAACGATTCATTTTATTTGACACAAACCAGGTAACCTCCATCTCCGCCAACAGAAAATCCATGATTTTCAAGTTCTTTGGGATATAGATGTCTCCCTTCTCTTTCATATACATCCTGCTTACTCTCACATTATCTTTTCCCTTAGATTCTTTGATCTTGAGAGATTCGGACACAACACACACTTCACATGCGCATGCAGAGAGATAGTGAAATGCAATTGTTGGAGTTTGTGGAGTAATAGTGAAATGCAATTGTTGGAGTTTGTGGCGTAGAAGGAAATGAAACGCATACCTGTAAGTTCCTTGCCTCCAGAGTTCCGCCTGAACTCCGGAAGAGCTCTCGCAATCGCCATGTGTTCGTATATGCGACTCCCACAATCATGTCCGATCATTAAATATCAGTACAACTTTCAGACAACATTATAAAGGTACAATGATTGTTACTTAGTGTCTTAAGGGAATATGCATCGAATCGACCGACTTTTATCGATTTATTTTTGGCAAAATCCCTACTAATGAAAGAAATCTACTTCAATCAACCTCCATTGTTACTTGCCCATAATGGTGGGTAGTCCAGATACGCATCATAGATCAATACTTAGAATATATGTATGATGATTAGTTTAACTGACATTCCACATGTGCACATGATGAAGCTCATTCGAAGATTCATATTTGTGGTATTAAATTATGAAGACACACCGTTAGTGCAACTTACGACCTTTTCGCTGAATCACCATAGTATGCACTTTTAATATCATGCAAGTTTTGACAGAGTATTCAAGCTATCGTTAGTAGATATGTCAGCGAGTGACCGAACTAAAATCACAATCTTAATCTTGTTTCTGCTATTTGATATACCTAAAAGTTTTCCTTAGCCTTGGTTTTCACTTCTCTTTTTTTCAGCCGTATCAAGGTTATGGTGGACCACTAAGGTCTTAGCCATGTCATGCAAAACAACTATGGTTGTTGTTATATAGGCTACCATTGCCTAACTTCAACTTTGACACTTTATTGGTGCAGTGCACCCCCCCCTTCCTTTGTTCGATGTGTAATGCCCAAGTCGCCTCGTCCTATACTCAATCAATAGTGTTCTCGTCCACTGCGCTTGAACTAATAACGAGTGGTTGCACAACAAAACGTGACCCTAGGTTTGGTTTGAATTGACGCGGACTGCTCCTGCAACCTGCCTGCGCCGAAAACCCGTTGTCGGACCAAATACCCTTCCGAGGGTATTTGGTCATGCTTTTGGAATTGACGGTAACGACATCGGCTACCATGACGGGGCCGGTCTGAAATGAAGAGGGTGTGCGTTCTTTAGTGTGACACTTGAAACGATTCCCTCGGCCATTAAGGCAGGGACAAATTAGTGCAAAACTTTCGAACGTATGCACGTGCGTTATCATGACGCACGCTGTGATGGTTAGGATCGGTAGTAATACCCTCCGACCGAGAAGGTCGAAGGGTTGACCGGTAGTAATACCCTCCGACACACGCGGAGACTTGGGCTGGTACCTGTCTACCTACCGATATTGGGCATCTAAAAATGCTAACTTTTGTCTTCTTCTGCTCGGCCTTTAGTATCCGGCACATCTACCTCTACTTGGTATGGTACCGACCCACCTGTTACATGAGTGTTTCCCGTGACTCTTAACTGTTGCGGACCTCTTTCCCCGCCACTTGAGTGTTTTCCCCGCTGCAACTTTCAATGTCGTGGCCACAACTAAGTACCGGCCCTTCCGACCTTCCGATCAACTAAGTACCCTTGCAGGTCACACACACACTTAAGCCGACAAAGCACTCAGACAGACATGCATAACAACAAGCGTGCACTCACGCACAAACTTTTAAACGGGCTCAGGCCACTGGTAGGACTGAGCCCTGTTACTGTACTTGTACCTGAGTTGCTCTTTTTCATACCGAAGTAGGAGCTAACTCAGTGGGTTTCAGTGCGGATTGAGGATCAGGTCACTCGGGGATCGAATCCATCCGACCCCAAGCTAGCTTTTTTTTACCAGGAGCTCCATTATGGTTTCACCCCGCGTT